CGCTCAGCTTCAGAGCATCGTCGATCGGGCTCACGCCAGAAAGGCCGAGTTCCCCGCCAAGCAGCTGCAGAAGACGATCGCCCGCTTCATTGAGGAGAATGTCAACCCAGCCGACGCCGAGATCCTCAAGACCACCCTCCTGCCTCTTCAGCAGGTCATCAACAAGTACATGGATGGCCTGAAGGCCCATGAGTTCAATGTCTTCGCTGGATTGCTGGAGCAGTACTACAAGGTCGAGAGCCTCTTCTCTGGCCGCAACATCCGTGACGAAGATGCCATCCTGAAGCTCAGAGAAGAGCACAAAGACGACATTGCCAGCGTCGTTCAGATTGTTCTGTCTCACAGCCGTATTAGCGCGAAGAACAACCTGATCTTGGCCATCCTGGCCATGTACCGCCCCAACCAGCCTGGTGTTGGCAATGTCGGAAAGTACTTCAAGCCCGTCCTGAAGAAGCTCACTGAACTTGAGTCGCGGCCCGCCGCCAAGGTCACTCTCAAGGCCCGTGAGGTCCTCATCCAGTGTGCGCTCCCCTCTCTGGAGGAGCGTATGTCTCAGATGGAACTCATCCTGCGCTCCTCCGTTGTCGAGTCCCGATACGGAGAGACCGGTTGGGACCACCGGGAGCCCGAATTCTCCGTCCTCAAGGAGGTGGTGGACTCCAAGTACACCGTCTTCGATGTCCTCACTCGATTCTTTGTTCACCCAGACCCATGGGTCACCCTGGCCGCTCTCGAGGTCTACATTCGCCGCGCCTACAGGGCCTACACACTGAAGGGTATTCAGTACTACCCTGACGGAGAAGTTCCCCTCGTCTCCTGGGACTTTACGCTTGGCAAGCTGGGACAGCCGGAGTTCGGTTCCGTCAACTCCAACCAGATGTCTACGCCCAGCACACCTACTACGGAGTCCAACCCCTTCAGGAGACTCAACTCCATTAGTGATATGTCCTACCTTGTCAACGACAGCAGCAATGAGCCCCTCAGAAAGGGTGTGATTGTCCCGGTTCAGTACCTCGAAGACGCCGAGGAGCAGCTGCCTAAGGCCCTGGAGGCACTCCCTCGTGCCGGCTCGAAGAAGAAGCCCGGTGAGAATGGGCTCATTGCAGATCTGGAGGGCAAGCGTCGACCGGCTCCTCGCATTGAGTCTGATCATGAATTGACCGGTGTCTGCAACGTGGCCGTCCGCGACCTGGAAGATCTTGACGACAACCAGATCGTTACTCAGATCAACAGCATTCTTGCCGGCCTCAAGGAGGAGTTGCTCGCTCGCCGCGTCCGCCGCGTGACCTTCATCTGCGGCAAGAACGGCAGCTACCCTGGCTACTTCACCTTCCGTGGACCTACCTATGAAGAAGATGAAAGCATCCGTCACAGTGAACCTGCCCTCGCCTTCCAGCTTGAACTCGGACGTCTGTCCAAGTTCAAGATCAAGCCCGTCTTCACTGAGAACCGGAACATCCACGTCTACGAGGCCATCGGCAAGGGCCCCGAGAACGACAAGGCCGTCGACAAGCGTTACTTCGTCCGTGCTGTGGTGCGCCCGGGCCGTCTCCGTGACGATATTCCCACTGCGGAGTACCTGATCTCGGAGGCTGACCGTCTCATGAATGACATCCTGGATGCTCTGGAGATCATCGGCAACAACAACTCCGATCTCAACCACATCTTCATCAACTTCTCGCCGGTGTTCAACCTGCAGCCCCAGGATGTGGAAGAGGCCTTGGCTGGTTTCCTTGAGCGCTTCGGTCGCCGTCTCTGGCGTCTTCGTGTCACCGGCGCCGAGATCCGTATCCTGTGCACCGATCCTGCCACTGGCATGCCTTATCCTCTGCGTGTGGTCATCACCAACACCTACGGCTTCATCATCCAGGTAGAGCTGTACATTGAGAAGAAGTCTGAGAAGGGTGAATGGCTCCTCCACAGCATCGGTGGTACCAACAAGCTCGGCTCCATGCACCTGCGTCCTGTTTCCACACCCTACCCGACCAAGGAGTGGCTTCAGCCCAAGCGTTACAAGGCTCATCTCATGGGCACACAGTACGTCTACGATTTCCCCGAGTTGTTCCGTCAGGCCTTCCAGAACAGCTGGGCCAAGGCTGTGGCCAAGATCCCCTCCCTGGCCAGCAAGCGGCCCGCGGTTGGCGAGTGCATTGAGTACAGCGAGCTTGTTCTCGATGATACCGACAACCTGATCGAAATCTCGAGAGGCCCTGGTACCAACACCCACGGTATGGTTGGATGGATCGTTACTGCTCGCACCCCCGAGTATCCCGAAGGCAGACGGTTCATCATCGTTGCCAACGACATCACCTTCCAGATCGGTTCCTTCGGTCCCCAGGAAGACAAGTTCTTCAACAAGTGTACCGAGTTGGCCAGGAAGCTTGGCATTCCTCGTATCTACCTCTCTGCCAACTCCGGTGCTCGCATCGGTATGGCCGACGAGCTGATCCCCTACTTCTCTGTGGCCTGGAACGATCCCCAGAAGCCCGAGGCTGGATTCAAGTACCTTTACCTGACTCCCGAGGTCAAGCAGAAGTTCGACGCCAGCAAGAAGAAGGAAGTCATTACTGAGCTCATTCACGACGAGGGCGAAGAGCGCCACAAGATCACCACTATCATTGGTGCCAAGGATGGCCTGGGTGTTGAATGTCTGAAGGGCTCTGGTCTCATCGCTGGAGCCACCTCGCGCGCTTACGAGGATATCTTCACCATCACTCTGGTCACCTGCCGCTCCGTTGGTATTGGTGCCTACCTTGTCCGTCTGGGCCAGAGAGCCATCCAAGTAGAAGGCCAGCCGATCATTCTGACTGGTGCCCCGGCCATCAACAAGCTGTTGGGTCGCGAGGTTTACACGTCTAACCTGCAGCTCGGTGGTACTCAGATCATGTACAAGAACGGTGTCTCTCACATGACTGCCACCGATGACTTTGAGGGTGTCCAGAAGATTGTCGAGTGGATGTCATTCGTGCCCGACAAGAAGGGTGCGCCCATCCCCATCCGGCCCTGGTCGGATGACTGGGACCGTGATGTCGCCTACTACCCTCCTCCTAAGCAGGCTTACGATGTCCGCTGGCTCATCGCTGGTAAGGAAGACGAGGAAGGCTTCCTCCCTGGTCTGTTCGATGCTGGATCCTTCGAGGAGGCTCTTGGTGGATGGGCTCGCACCGTTGTCGTTGGCCGTGCCCGCCTCGGTGGCATCCCTATGGGTGTCATTGCTGTCGAGACTCGCTCCGTTGAGAACGTCACCCCTGCCGATCCTGCCAATCCTGACTCCATGGAGCAGATCAGCCAGGAAGCCGGTGGTGTGTGGTACCCCAACTCGGCCTTCAAGACTGCTCAGGCCCTCCGTGACTTCAACAATGGCGAGCAGCTGCCCGTCATGATCCTGGCCAACTGGAGAGGTTTCTCTGGTGGTCAGCGTGACATGTACAACGAGGTCCTCAAGTACGGTTCCTACATTGTCGACGCTCTGGTCAAGTACGAGCAGCCCATCTTTGTTTACATCCCACCCTTCGGTGAACTCCGTGGTGGTTCATGGGTAAGTCATTAGTTATTCTGTGTTATGTCATGTCTTCAATTACTAACTACTCCTCTAGGTCGTCATCGATCCCACGATCAACCCCGACCAGATGGAGATGTACGCTGATGAGGAGGCTCGCGGTGGTGTCCTCGAACCAGAAGGTATCGTCAACATCAAGTACCGCCGTGAGAAGCAGCTCGACACCATGGCTCGTCTTGATGCCACCTACGGCGAGCTCCGTCGCTCTCTCGAGGACCCATCCCTCAGCAAGGAGCAGCTGTCGGAGATCAAGGCCAAGATGGCCGCTCGCGAAGAGCAGCTCCTTCCTGTCTACCAGCAGATCGCTCTGCAGTTCGCTGATCTCCACGACCGCGCCGGCCGCATGGTGGCCAAGAACACCATCCGCAAGGCCCTGACCTGGAAGAACGCCAGACGCTTCTTCTACTGGCGTGTCCGCCGCCGTTTGAGCGAGGAGCTCATCCTCAAGCGCATGGCCTCCGTCGCTCCGGCCGCCGTCTTCGGCGAGGCCAGCGGCGCCATCCCTGCCACCGGAGCCGTCGACAGCCAGGCCTTGTCCTCCGAGAGCCCTCGCGCCAAGCACCTGCGCGCCCTGCACTCGTGGACCGGCTTCCTGGACGAGGAACTCGAGCACGACGACCGCAAGGTCGCCATGTGGTACGAGGAGAACAGAAAGGCCATCCAGATGAAGATCGAGGCCCTCAAGACCGACTCCGTCGCCACCGAGATCGCCCAGCTGCTCATCAGCAACAAGGAGGGTGGTCTCAAGGGTGTGCAGCAGGTTCTCAGCATGCTGCCTGTCGAGGAGAAGGAGGCCGTGCTCAAGTACTTGGGCTCGGCTTAAAAATAGAAACATAGAACCGCCCCGTTCATATTGTTTTTTTCTTTACTGGATCATATTTCCAATTTTTTGATCACATAACATACACTGAAGATGGTTTATACAAGGCGGGTGCGTTAGGGTTAATCGTATCTTATCTTGCGAGTTTGTCTGCTTTTTGTCTTGCATGGGTTTTGGAGGTTGCATCACTGAATTACTATGTATGCATTATGTTGTTATGCCTGATGTTCTTTGGCAATGTTCCTATTTCCTTACTATCAATGCAATGAATCTTCGACTTCAAAGATACTACTCTCCGTAAATAATATGGGAAATGTACGTCTACGTCTGCGGTAGGACATGCACAGTACGAGGTTACTATGATATGAATCTTGTATTCCATTGACAAACTGACATCTCGTCCCACGATCATCCAAGACGCTAGGAAGATGTATCTCCATGCACACGTTCATAGTCGTCGAAAACATGAGGCAGAGGTAGGGTATATACGCAACAAGCAGAAAAGATACGCCTCATAAACCAGGCACGATAGCCATGACCCAAGAGCGAGAAAAAAAGAAAAAGGGGTATAATAGTTAGGAAAGCAGAAGATATAAAGACGAGAACGAATATGCTAGCGCTCTACGCAAGCTGTCTTTCTAGGCTGCGTGGCGGGGAGAGGATAGGTGGCATCCCTCGGTAGGGAGTGGACGACACCTGTGGTATGCCGCGGCTGGGGTTGACAGTACCCATCCCGGGCTCGTCTAGGCCCAGGCTTAACCGGCCAATGTCCACCGGGACCTGCTGCGGGAGAGGGAGAGGCGCCTGGTAACGCGGGTTCTGAGGTTCAGGCATTGGGCCGTGAGCCATCGCGAAGGCGAGAGACTCGTCCCGGCCACCGGGCAGAGTGACAATGCTAGCTTTCAGGGTGCGAGCAATGTCCTCTAGTAACACTTCCATGGGAGCGATGTAGGCTGTGTGGCTTTTCTCCGACCAGGCCAGGACATGGCCGCAGACACGGCCCGTCGACTTGTCGAAAACCCAGGCTCCTGAGTCTCCGGGGACTAGACTCAGGAAGGTTGTTAGCTTCGGTTTGTTCGATCGCATGGCGCATGGGGGGCCTCACAACTTACCTCCAAAGTTTCCATCCACACAGAAACTAGTGGAGAAAGTTTGTCGTCCGTGCAGTTTGACAATGGTCATCGCCCGGGAAATCTGCCCAGTCTGCAGACCACTTGTCCGACCGCAACAATGAACCTTCAAACCGCCCAGCTCCTCCATCCGTGCTACGTCATTGAGAAAGATGGCTTCCCCTGTATGTGAAGGTGGTCCTCCAGGGCCCCGTCTCGAGACACCTCGGGACATTGATGGCGGCGTCTTGTCAAACACAATGTTGCGCGCATCTAACCGGTCATCATTGATCTTGATCAACGCCCAGTCAATTTCATGCTTGATGCCTTTTCGAGTCCATCGGCGAACGCCCGATGATGCATGGACGAACCCGAGCGAGTGAGACGCCAAGTGCTCATCATCACGATCCTCGGGCGACGGGAAGAAATCCTCATGGACGTCATCGATTGCTGGTTGAGTAACAAATAAAGGCGGCTCATCACCCGGCTCGACTCCGGCCGTGTCGCCAATCGAGGCCGCATCTTCATCCTCATAGGGGTCATCAATATCAAAGCCTTCTTCGTCCGAAGAATAAGTGTCTGAGAGCCAATGGTCCTCGTAAGTTCCTTCCAAGCTCGGAGAGAGGGAGACGTCATCGCCATCCTCGTCTTCCGAGATCTCGAATTCCAAGTCAACTTCAGAGGGATCCTCGTCGCACCAGGTGTACATGAAATCATTGTTCGAGGGGGCGGATTCTCCCGGCCAATTCCCAGCTGAGCGAAATGGTCCCCCGACATTCCGATTCTGCACCTCCTCTTCTCCCTCATCATCACTAGGTGCCTCAAGCATGTGATGGACCGTCATACCATAAGGCATACCGTCCACCAAGATGGCACCCCCATAGGACACAGGAGGGAGATGCTCCTCATTCTGAAAGGCGCCAATGGACGCGCCACAAAGCGGTCGTGGCTGATAGCAGGGATTGAGATCTCGCTCGGGAAACGCCGGAGCACCCGCCGTCTGCGATCTCTTTGCCGGCCTGCGCTTTTTCTTTCGCGGAACTTTGGAGCGTTGGATATCCCCACGAAGCACGATGATGTCCCAATCTTCCCTATCATCGAGCACAAAGTACTTCCTCAAGGCGGCTCTTACCTTCTTTGCACTCGCGCAGGTAACACAGATAGTCGTCTTGGCAGTTTCAGCCGAATCGCCAGTCATCATCAGAGTGACGCCACAGGATTCGGACGAGTCTTTAAGAATCTTCTGAAGAAGTTTTCTCAATCGTGGAAGCATCTGGAAATTCCATTCGTTGAGGTGGTCTTGAGGAATCTCGACGTTGGTAAGCTTTTTGAATGTCCTCTTCTTTGCCTTCTTCTCCTCCAGCCCCATCTTCTCCCTCAAGACTCGCATATCTTGCACTTGAAGAGCAGGATATGAACCATGGCGACGTGTCAGTCGCTGAGGTTCAGGCGCGTACTTCTGAAGACTCTTGTGCACATGCTCTGTCTCTGTTTGAGGAACGAGCGCAAGGGGAAGGCAATCATCCAACTCCTCTGCGGCCGGTGCAGAGAAAATGTCAATTCTGCAACAAGACCAAACGATCTTGCACATTGTATAAAGGAAGTTCATGGAGAAAGAAAAGATACCGTCTGGCGCAGAAAGATCCAAAACAGGATAATGATATGTCTGAGGAACTCTCAAGTTGAAGTCCTCAAATGGCTGCGTTGATAAATGGAAGTTGGGGGCGTCCAGACACAGTTGGACGACGTGAAGGAATGCACTGCCGCACTTCGGACCCAGCTTCTGCAGATAAACATTTTCGATTCTCTGCTTAAACATCGAATTGGTGTATTTCATCTTCCAAAGTCGGCTGATTGGCGTCCACAGGCCAATTTCCATCAACACGAGACCTAGGGAATACAGATCATAGGACCAGGCCGCATTATCCTCAAGGGACCTCTTATCGTCGGGATGACGATACATGCTCGAAGATAAAGGCTCCGGTGATGTCGCAGTACCAGAGAATTGAGCGAAGGATGTCAAATAGGGCCGTCGAAGATCCTCCGTAAGGGCCACCTCGTCGTTGTTTGAGCTGGTGGCACCGGGGAAGATGAGCACGTTACCGCTGTTGATGTTACCGTGCACGAGATTCTGGCTTCGAAGGTGTAGCGCAGCCATCAAAAGGTCATAAGCCAGCCGAAGACGGGTTTCGAGGTTGGGGACCCGTTGATCATCGCTTGTTTGAAAGAGAGAGACTAGAGGCTTCGGCTTCAGGCCGCTCAGGAGATCGGAAGGATTGTGCAGGAAGGGGAAATAGTCGATTGGCATTTGATAGATAAACGCATATCGCGAATTGGGCATGTCGATGTAGAAGCCAAGGAATCTCATCAAACCCAGATGGGATACCCTTGCGTTTTGGACGAGCTGATCAAGGGTCTGTTGCACATGTTCGAGTCGCTTCTGCTCCGGCAAAGTGATGTCGCGTTGAGTTTCCAGCATCATTGGCGTATACTCAACCAAGATGGATACGGTAGACTCCTTGGCGCCCGCCAAGAGCGGAGAAGCCGACGTCTTGATACGTCCAATGGCCCGAGAATTCGTGGAAGCAGCTACCATCTCATACGGCGGTGGGCTGTTGTCGTGGGACGCACCGGAGAGCTGCAAAGCAGAGCGATCAATGAGGAAGCTTTGGGATGAAAGGGAAGATTTATGTGACTGCTTCTCCAAAGCGCTGACAACGGGCGACGCATAGTCGAAAGGATCTTGATGCGCTTTGGGGCTGTGGTAGGCCTCCTTCGTATCAAGCGGAGAGCCGTGGTATGACTTGGAATCGGGATAGGAGTAGACAGACTCGTCTCCGGTTCTGAGCGCATGTCGTTGGCGACCCCGCACAGCCGACTGCCCGCTGGAGGTCATGTTTCGGCGCGAGCGCGACAAATCGTACAAAGTGTCGATGCAAGCAGTCAAGTCGGCAAGGAGGCTCTTGGAGCGTGTAATGTCTTCATTAGTCCAGTGCGTCTTGGCTGGCAGAGCAGGAAGGCTGTCTTTCGATGTAGAGTCCTTCTGAGCGCCTTTGGGAGGTAAATCGGATGAACCCCCATGTTGGATGCGTTCCGCTTCACTTAGTAACTCCTGGATGGAAGACATAACGCTTTCCACGACATCGCTAAACCCGGCTTGCGTGAGCGATTCATCGATATCGTTCGGCTGTGCGGCGCCAGCGTCGCTCCAGTCTAGACCCCAAGCAAGAAGCCGATCCCGCTGCGTCCCAAAGCTCCGATGCAGAGCGACGAGTTCCGGATCATCGACAGCCTTCGAAGCCGTCGTAACACTCTCACACGAGGTCTTTGTATCTGTATACATTTTGGTAAGACGTCGCTGGAGGTATGAACCTCCATGTCGGAGAACGGACATCTTGGCGTGCAGAGTCCGGGGAAGGTGGAAGGATTAGGGGAATGCGCGCAATAGTACCTAGTCAAGAGGCGAGGCGGGTCTTAATACGATCTGGCCTCGCAGCGGACTCGATACTTCAGCATTGAGGGCACATGGTTTTGAAGGGTGATGAAATGATGCAAGATGATCTGAAGGAAAAGTTTTCTTCAGCAACAATTCGGCGTTAGATGACCATGATTTTGCAGGACGAGAGCGATGGCTAGGCATAAGAATAGATTTGGAGGTGGGCAGGAATCCTGTTGCCTAACCAATAGGGAGTGGCGAGTGAGAGCAAAGCCTCGATCGCGCAAGCCACACCTCTTGGCCCGTCACGTGGCAGGCAGCTGCGAATATCAATGCCCACCTTCGATCCACCACACCAAGTCTACAGGATTTATCTGGGTATTATTACTGATCGTATCAGTAGAGTAGAATAGTTACACGATACTTGCTGGGCGAGCGATCGCATGACGAGCTACAGTTATCCGCCAGGTTATTGGCAGAGAACGGCACGTGCAGACTACAAAAGCATTTTCATACTATAAATGAATACAATGTAGTACGTCTTTGAGATTCATATGTTGTACAAACTTAGCATGTGAGCTGCCTAGTACGGGAACGTCGGAGAAAGTGCGTTGATTTGGCGGAGAACGGGACCAGGCAACCGTCTTCTCTTGTCATTGATAACGTGATTAATCAAAAGATAAAATAAACAACCTTCTATTGATGCATTGAGATGTGAAATATACACAGGAGAAAATAGAAATAAAGGGGAAAAAATGAAACGAAGTGTCTAATGTTGTAGGGTTACCCGGTAATCACTCGTCGAGAAACACCAACATCTCTTGCACGTTTCTCCCTGAAATTGTGCAGGCGCTCCCCAATCAGATACACATCATCACGGATGTTGACTCTCCAGATATCCACCTGTCGACGGACCATGTAAACAAGCCATGCCAAAAAGCTAAGAAGCAGAGTGGCAGGGAATGCATAGCGATAGACCTTTGCTTGAATATCGGGGGTGGCATGGAAGACAGTCGAGTTCAGTGCGAACCCGAAAGAAAGTGGGAGAGCCACTGCAAGCACCGCCAAAACCGTGACAGGAAGCACTATTGCTCGGGTGGCAAGACGGACATTTGGTTTCAGCCAGCCGTCCCGGAAGACACCGTTGAGGGCCGCTGCAGGTCGCGAAGTAGAATGCCATAGAGCAAACTTGATAGCCATTTGCACATACAGCACCCCAAGCGTCCAGTCTTGCACAAAGTGAATGACGTGCCCCCGTGTCCCACCCAGGTACGTATGCACCGGAACAATCACGTAAAGCTCCATGACCAGAGCGAACAAGGACGGCAGTAGAACCGAGAATGCGAGCACTACGTAAGCTAGTCGCAGACCGCTTAGTGCGACATTTCCGAATCCGAGCAAAGCCTGTCGTGGCGAACGAAGGTAAGGGCGAAGACGATCCTGGGTTGTAGCCAAGAACGTCCGGCAATAGAACATGAGATAGGCAGCAATTCCGAAAATGCAGATGCCCAAAGAGAACGCATACATATCATTCAGCGGGCGATCCGGGAAGCATGCCAACATCATCTTTCGGCCAATAACTAGGGGAATAATTGTGATGCCTACCCCGGTAGCAGCCGCCAAGACCCAGATCAGGAAGATGAACGCCGCAATTCTAGTCCTGAAGGAGGGTGGGATGTAGACCTTAGTGAACATGTCGTTGGTACGACCATGTAGACCCTCGTCGGGATCCGGAGCGCCATCAACCCGCTCGTTGTTCTCGTTGACCTCCAAGAACACTGGGTTGCCCTTTGGAATACGCACCTGATCGGAAGCTGGAGCCCGTACAAATTTGCCGTCCCGGACGAAGTAAGCACCGAGCTGCTTTTCGTCGGCGATGCGACGCTCAGTTTCACCGACGATGGGCTGTTCAGTGTCGCCTTTCTTTCCCGAAAGGAGATCAAACCAAGTCCGTCTCACATGATAACCTTCCTCATCGGTGTGTTTTTCACCAAAGAAAAAGCTGCTAAGTCGTAAGAACCGCGCGCATTTATGAAACCACMAGTTGTAAAGCTTGTGTAAGCCGTCAGAGGGCTTGATAGACCGTATGGCAAGGGGCATAGCAAAGTTGTAGAACAACAAATCAGCCGGAAATTCGAGCACAGGAATCGTGGCAGACCACCGAACAGGCAGCACCCCATCAAAGGCATAGTATAGGCCCCAGACAACACCGCCGAGGCAGACGATGACCAGAGCCCCGTATACGAGAGCACTGAAGGCTATCTTGCGCAGTTGAGTGGTGATGTTGCGTTCAAGTACATCACGCACCGGATGGAAAGTCGGGTCATCGGGGTCGCGAATGAAGTCTGTCAATCATAGTCAGCAAACTAATGCTCAAACAGACTTGGTTGTGAGCACTTACAAAGGACGCCACTCCTCATGATTTTGCGACACATCGAAACAAATAGAGCGAAATGGAACATATAACAAGTGCCTATGAACCAGTGCACAAAGAGTGATGTGAGTGGAGAAGAAGAGGTAAATTCGAGCCGGGAGGCGATCGTAGCGTTCTCAAAGAGAGGTAGCAAGGCGACATCAAGCAGGGTACCACAGTACAATGGAAAGACAATCATTTCAATCCCAATGATCAAAATGACTTTCATTACTCCACCAGCTTGGTGAAGTACGTCCGCGATGAGGCCATCGACCCTCTGTCCACGACTTGCCCCTGTGAACAGGCTAGTAATGCGAAGGTAGAGGAGTCCCAAAATCGATGCAAGCACGTAACCCATGACAATGGCAATAATACGATCTTTAGTATCCCAAACGGCCAATTCGGGATCAATGGCCAAACCGGTGGAAGTCGCCCCTGTCACAGTGGCATCTAACCACTTCGCGCCTTTCCCTGGGAAGAAAGGGCGGTCAGCAAAGCTGTACACCTGCTGTCGAGCCTGCGCGAAAAGACTGCTCAAGTCGATGCTTTGGCGATCTAAGGATAAAGCTCCTAGAAGTCCCTTTGTCGTGATTTGGAGGGGCAAATCGTGTATTATGAATTTGACGAAAGTAACAATCAACTGGCAAAGACCAGAGATGCGCGCTTGATGGATCCTGAGCGCCTGATGAGACAGAACAGAGAACACCGGGACGTCAGATTCGTGGAAAACAAAGAACGCGCTGACCACGTTCTTCAACCGGTGACTGCTGGCATCGATAAGCGACAACGATGCGCTCGTGATAGACTTCGTTTGGGGAATCCAATCGCCTAGGGGGACGAAGGAACTCAAGGGGCCAAGTAGCACTTTGCAGACAAGGCTGACCGCATACATGAGATAGCCCAGACTGCCAATAAGAGTGTCTAGTGTGACATCTGCGATAACCGATACTGCAGTCACAGGTACGCCGAAGACGAGTTGAATGGGATTCGCGAGGAGGACGAGTGCTATCTTTCCCCACAAATATGGAAGCCAGACCCCAATAGCCACTGTAAATGAAATCAAAAGAGCGCTAAACACACCGTTCTGAAGCAAGCCAAATATGGGGCCTTGCATGCCGATAAGTTCGAGAATCCCTTCTAAATCGTCACCTTCTTCCACAGCATCCAGATCGTTGGGATCAATTCCTGCGTCCGCAGCAATGCCCTGATTTTGCTGCATATCATTGGCAGGACGTCTGTTGTTACGGATTGGTACAAATGGTGCTTCTACAGCAAGATCTTCCACCACTTCCTCATCATCTCCTGGAGGGCGCTCCTGATCCTGCTCACGTGGTGCCAGATCAGCCCAAAACCATTCAAAAACTTTGGCAGCAAAGCTCCTTGGAGGTGCGGCAGCAGGAAGGTCAACCTGAACGCCACGCGGTGCGGTTTCATCATTTGCATGGCCCATGGTCGGCAAGTCTTGTGTGCTCGCAGGTTGTGGGTCGATTGACACCTCATCATCGTAGTTTGTGTCGTTCAACTGTCCCTCACCATTACTTCCTGTATTAATCTCTGACTCGCGCCCAAATTCAGGGAAGCCAAAGGTGAATTCATGACGATGTGTACTCGAGTCTGTCTCAAAGGGTGAATTGGGCATGTCCGCGGCATCCCAAGCCCGATACGCAGGCACTGAGTCTGACATTTCAGCAGGGCCAGACGGAGCTGGATGAGAAGACTCTACGGAAGAAGCCCCGCTTCGATATCCTGGGGTCTCGAGGTCATCCCATTGAGTGTTGAAGCTGGAGCGAGCTTCAGAAAATCGAGGGGTGTCATTCTGTTGAAGCCTTGTCATGGCTGCGACAACCCAACCAAGCTCCTCGTCCCGACCGTCTTCTCTAATAATTCTTAGAATCTGCTCAGGGTCACCATTGCCGCGGGACCAGAGGTCTCTGAAAGTCTCAACGCCAGCCCAACCTCCCTGGTTAACTCGCGTGGGCGACCTTCTCGCCAAATGGCTGGCATTCGCTTCATTGTCGCTATCACTGCCATTTTCTGAAAATGTTGCGGGACCGGCCCTTGCCACAGGTTCGGCGGCTGGCAAATCAGCGCTTTCGCCGCTTTGAAGGGAACGCCTGCGAGTCGGCTGGGGAAAATGAATATCGTGTAAACCAACATCATGATCGGAGCCGTGCTCTTCCATATGCTCTCCCTCGTCCCCTAACACATCTGCACGGTGCACATGAGCCCGGGGTTCAGGCCTTGGACGGTCGTCGTTTCTATTTGGACGGTTATTCGCTATTAACTGCTCTGCGGCTTCGCGTTCACCATCGGCAATATTGGCCATTGGCTGCTGTTGAACAACCCATTCTCGGATCAAAAAGACGAGTATGAACGAAACGACGACGAGCAGGGTGATAAGCTGCCCCTCCAATGTGTCGATGACAATATTGTTGATGGTGGGTGATGGCGTCAACGAGTTGAGCAACTTCACGTCCGAAAGCCACGAGGGGTGGCGGTGCCTATACAGTCCCGTAGTCACGTTCAACGGCCGTGAGTTCGATGA